AGAGTCTTGTGTGAGGAGCAGCCAGGAGGCTGGTGTCACTGAGCAGAGTATCTGGGGATGGGTAAGGTGTAAGAACACTGAAAAGGTAGGTGGGGCTTTGGACAGCCGAGGATTTTCTTTCTGATTGGAGATGATAGAGAGCCACTGGAGGCTTATTGGGTAGGAGGTGGAGGTGACATCCTCCAGCCTTACTTCAGGACTGGGAGGAAGGAGGCACAAAGCCAGAGGAGGCTCTCTGCTTAGGGCCTACCCCTGACCTTAGCACTGGGACCAGAATAACCTACCACAGAGAGGGAGCACAGGCCTAGTTCATTATTGTTTCGCTTCTGTTTTCTCTACCAAGGAGAATGACCTGTTCAAGAAAAGTATTTATTCTCTAGTCTGTTTTAGGCACAGTTTGCTAGAAACATTTTAATAACAGTCTACACATCAAACCATTTCTAGTTGAGAGAGAGCTGTCAAAATTTGCAGAGTCCTTCCCCCACCCCCACCATTGCCCTCAGACATGTCCTTACCTCATAATGCTTTGGGGTAACATAAGGATCACGAACAGGAAAAATGTCATAATATGTTGAAAGTACAGTTTGGGGTCAACATTCCAGGACAACAGCCACTTCACTCAACTGCTTGTATTGCTGGGCTCCTTCCTTGAGCACTGCTCTCAAGGATTACAGGATTCTCTTTCTGTAATCAGCATCTTTATTCTTGAAAATGAAAAAGGCCAGCACCCTTAGTTGTGTTGGGATGCTAGTCATTTCAGAAGGATGGAGAGGTGATGATCTTATCAAAATGAACTAAGATTGGGCTGAAGATTGCCTTTTCCTGGGGCCTTAGTCTGTGCTATTGCACTTTCCTAAAGGGGTATGTCTGGAAAGAGTTTTCAGCTGGACAAAGTATGGTTTAATGCTTTTAACTGAGCCAATAAAAAAGTTTTTAATATACCCCCACAGACCTTTGCCCTAGAAATGGTACTACTGAACAAAAAGGGCTAGCTACTCTGGAGTAAATACCCAAGATAAGTCAGGAGACAGGGAGAGAGCAGCCGGCTGTTCTCGATAAATTCTGGACATCAGACCCACATAACTCCATCCTCAGGTCCTGAAAGACCTGGCTGATGTGGCCGCTGGACCATGGCTACTGATGTTTCCAAGACTGGAGAAAATGAGAGGCACCACAGAAAGGAAGGTCACATGTCTTGATTCTTTACAAAGGGTTGAAAAAGAACAGTCACCTAACAATAGGTTAGTCAGGTTAACTTCGGTTTCTGGGAATTGTATAGAATGTATCATGGTGAGGAGTCAGCTGGGAAGTAGTATGAAGGTCTAGGCCTTGGCAAGATAAGGTGAAAGCTCCCCTCTCAGAGCTGGGGGGTTTCAGTTTGCTTCTCTGGTCGGATAGAGGCTAGAGAGTATGGCCAGGGCAAGGAGAAGGCTAGGATTGGATGCCCAAGATAATAGGAAAATAGCAAGAAGCCATCTAGCTCCCCATGATGCATGCAAGGCTCCTGGCTGAGGTAGATGAGATTGCCACTGTCAGGAAAACAGGAGAGGTCCTCCAAGAGTGTCAAAGGGCAAAGGGATCCGTGATTGTAAGGAGTATTGGACCAGGAATCAGAATGACCAGGGTTTAAATCCTTTCTCAGATATTTACTCATTTGGTTACCCTGGGCTAGTCACTTAATCCCTGTATGTCTCAGTTTCCTCATCTGTAAAATGGGGGGGGTGGGTAATGATAGCACCCACCTCTTGATTATTTCTATGGAACATCTGTTTTGAGGTTTCCAGTAGGTAGCTGGAGATGTGAGTCTGAAAGTCAGGAGAGAGCTTCAGGCTGGATAAATAAATCTGAGAATCTGAGGGAGGATAATAGAGTCCATGGGAGCTGATGAGATCACCAGGCAAAGTAGTATAGAGGGAGAAGAGAAAAGGGCCAGGACCGAGCCCTCTGGGACACCGAGGTTACTGGGTGTGACCTGGGTGGGCCCGATGATTTGAATTCATTCACAAGGGCAGGCTCCTGCTATTCTAGCGCCCTATTTATCTTGGAATTAGCATCCTCAATCAGAAAATTTAAACCCAACTCTAGAGACACAGTCTGAGTGTTTTGCCTGGAGTCAGGAAGACCTGAGTTCAAATCCTGCCTCACACACTTACTGGCTGTGTGACCCTGGGCAAGCCACTTCACTAGTATCTGCCTCAGTTTCCTCACGTGTAAAATGGGGATAATAATAGCATCTACTTCCCAGGGTTGTAAGAATCAAATAGAGATAATAATTGTAAGGTGCTTAGTGCCTGGCACATGGTAGGCACTATGTAAATGTTAGTTATTATTGTTAACCAGGTATTCAGATGGTCTCCATCGACTCCCATGATATAGTGAACACATTCTGAAAGCAGCATAAGCAGGTCTTTTGGAGGTGGCCCAAATACAGAGGTGCACATAGATACACAAGAATTCACACAGACTCTGCCTCATACCCACCTTCCCTCCACAAGCTGTAAGACTCATGGGCTCTGCCACCTGGAGACAGACACATCAGCAAGGCTGTGCAAGAGGACGTGGGAATTTGAAGTAAGAAACCAGAACGAGGGATGAAATCACTGAGTCACGTCCTGGAGCCTTTGCTTGTACAATCTATGAAGGCTGGTGGTGTCCTTCTGCCTTATCAGTTTGTGGCCTCTCTAGCCCTCCTCGTTCTCTTGGTCCATTTGGACTGCTGGCCTCCCTTTCCCCCTTCCAGCCTCGATGGCAGAGAGAACCGGTTCCAGTGTGCACTGTCCTCTGGAGTTCTTTTCTCTCTGGTCCTACAGCCCTTGCTGCCCTGACCATCTTCTCCCCTCCATCACCCCCGCACCAGCCTGTTCCCCTGCCCACTAGCAACGGAGAGATGGTTCAGTGGAGAAATCCATCCACCACAAACATTTATGTGAGCCAGGAGCAGGGAGGCCAACAAAGGTGACTCCACCCCTTGGAGCTTATGTTCTGCTGGAGGAGATGGCAGGTGCCCAGGTAAGTCCACACAAACCCAGTGGGGTGGGGTGGAGGGAGACCAGCTGCCCAGACTCACCAGAAGCTGCCCCTTGGGCCCTGCCTCCCTCCCAGCCCCGGCTCAGCTCCCACTGGCCTCCAGATGTCCCACTCTTGTCTCTGGCTCCTATCTCCATCCCCAGGTTCTTCCTGTATTCCCACTAGATCTGCTCCCATGAGGCCTCCCAGTTAATGCTGAGCTGTTCAGTCTTAGCATCGGCTCAGTCTCATCCACCGTTCCCCCCTTCCCAAGGCCTCCAAGTCCCTCCTTATAGTTCAGACTCGGTATATGTTCAGTGCCATCCCTGCTGGTAGCCACACCATTCTCAATCCAGCTGGGAGCCTCTCAGTGCTCCTCTCTGACTCCCTCCTGCTCATCACCTGATGGCCTCTCCCCACCTTTAACCTGCATGCCCCCCCCCCAAGCAGTTCCCCCAGTGCCTGCCCCAGATTCTGGCTCCCACCAAGTCTTTGGTCAATCAGTCGTCACAGCCCTAGCCCAGGAGGACAGTGCTAAGAAATGACCAGCACGCTCCCAATACGCTAGGACTATGCAGGACTTCAGGATCAGTTCCCTGGCCAAGTAAGAAGCATTTATGAAGGCTTCTAGTTTTATAAATATGCAAGCATTAATTAAGAGCCAGGCATGGTGGTAAGCACTGGTAATACTAAGAAAGGGAAAAAACAAACTAGGCCTTGCCCTCAAGGAGCTCACGGTGTAATGGGGGAGATAACATGCAAGATAGATAAACAAAGATACAGGATAAATTGGAGATAGTGTCAGAGGGAAGGTGCTGGCATTAAAAGGTATTGGGAAAGGCTTCTTGCAAAAGGTTGGACCTTGGCTAAAATTTGAAGGATGCTAGGGAAGCCAAGAGGAAAAGATGAGCAGAGAGAATTGCAGGCTTGGACAGCTGATGAAAATGGAGTCAGGAGAGGGGTTTCTTGTGCCAGATGTAATAGCAACGACGACAATGTCACTGGATGGGGGGTGGGGAATAATATATAAGGAGGATAGGAAGGAGAAGCTGAACAGGATGCTGTTTGACTCTGAAGGTTATAGGAGTTTCTTGAACAAAGGAGTGAAAACATGTTCAGACCTGAGCTTTAGGAAGATCAATTTGACAATTGAATGGAGACTAAACTGGGAAAGACTTGGGGTAGGGAGACCAACCATGTTAAGTCTAACATGTCTAAGGGGCTTCCAGTTTGAGATGTCCAGTAAGCAGTTGGAGACAAGGAGACTGAAGATCAAGAGAAAGGTTAGGGCTGAATAAATAAAATAGAAAACAAAAAAATTCTAGGCTTGATTTGATTACTGTAGTAAGAGGTGAACCCTCTCTTACATTACTAACATCCAAAGGGTTTCATGCTATTATGTGTTTTCTGGTATCTAATCAGGGTTTCCCTCCAGCTAAGACTTGTCTACATTCATTACAGTGAAAGGATTTTACTGTGGTATGAGTTCTCTGATGTTTAATGAGGTATCCCTTGTGACAAAAGACTTTCTTACATTCATGACATTCCTAGAATTTTGTTCCAGTGTGAGCTTTCTGATGTCTAACCAAAGTATCCTTTCAGCTGAAGGCTTTCCCACCTCTATTACAAAGAAAGAGCTTCCCCCAGTTTCATTTGCCTGGTGGCTCTTAAGGTGACTCTTCTGCTTAAAGGCTTTCTCACATTGATTATATTCAAAAAGGTTCACTCTAATATGAGTTATTTTATACCTAATAAGGTTTCCCTTCTGCCTGGAAACTTTCCCAAATTCATTACATCCCAAGGATTTCATACCAGTATGAGTTCTCTCACAGCTAATTAGGGTAACCCTTTGGATAAAGGCTTTCCCACATTCATTACATCCAAAGGGTTTTATTCCATTATGAGTTTTCTGATGTCTAATTATGGCTTCCTTCCATCTGAAGATTTTCCCACATTCATGACTAATAAGTCTTCCTTTCTCACAGTCACTGCATTTAAAGGGTTTCACTCCTATATGTATCTTCTGATGTATCAGAAGTTTTCCCTTCTGAGTGAAGACTTCCACATTCATTATATCCAAAGGGTTTTACTCCATTATGAATTCTCTGATGGCTAATCAGGGAAACCCTCTGGCTCAAGGCTTTCCCACATTCATTACTTTCATAGGGCTTCACTCCATTATGCGTTTTCTGGTGTCTAATAAGTCTCCCTTTCTCACCAAAAGTTTTTCCACATTCATTACATCCAAAGGGTTTCAGTCCAGAAGGAATTCTCTGATGTCTATTAAGGGTTCCCCTTTGGTTGAAGCCTTTCCCACGTTCTTTACATTCCAAGAGTCTTATGCCAGTATGAGTTTTCTGATGGATAATAAGGTATCCCTTGTGACTGAATGCTTTTCTACATTCCTTACATTCAAAGGTTCTCCCTGTAGTTTGAGTTCTCTGATGGTTCATCAGGTGTTCCTGCTGACTGAAGGCTTTCCCACATTCATCACATTCAGCATGGGTTTTCTTATGCTCAATAAAACTTTGCCACCAAATGAAAGCTCTTACACATGCATTACATTAATAGGGCTTTGGGGCAATGTACATTCTCTGATGTTCAGTAGGATGTGATCTTCTACCAAAGGCTCTTCCCCAATCATTATGTTCATCTTTTTTTTTTTTTGTCAACACATGGTCTGTAGCACTTAAGGAGGTCCGAGTGATAACTGAAGGGGGATTTTTCAGTCCATTATATTTATAAAGCTTCTTCCATGAGTAGATAATATTACACTGAATTTGGCCTGAAAACTGTCCAAAAGTCTTTTCAAGTGTATTACACTTTAAAATTTCTTTTTCATTTCTTTCATTTTAAATTTATGGAATAAAACAAACATTTCCATAACATAATATAATAAGATGATTGCACATGAAGCTGAAAATCTATTATGTACAACTTGCTATTCCTTTTAACTATATAATAAAATTGTCAAGTAAATTTTTTTTCTCCCCTACCCCTTCGCACCCTAGTGATGGCTACCATTAGACACAACTGTGTGTGTGTATGTGTTTGTATGTATGTATGTGTGTATGTATGTAAAGTCATTCTATACATCTATTTTTCAGTTCATTTTCTGGATGCAGATAACATCTTCCTTCATATGTTCTTTGTAGTTAATTTGAGTGTTTATAATAGTCAAAATGGCTTAGTTGTTCCATTACTTAAAAAAAAATTGCTGTTACTGTATACAACATTCTCTTGGTTTTGCTTTTCATTATTTTGTACAAGTCTTTCCCTGTTTTTCTAAAATCATTGAGCTCATCATTTCTTACAGCACAGTAGTATTCCATCACAATCATATACCACAACTTGTTCAGCCATTCCCCAGTCGATGGGCATCTCCACAATTTCTAGTTCTTTGGCACCACAAAGAGAACTGCTATACACATTTTAAAACATGTAAGTTTTTTTCCCCCCTAATCATCTTGGAAAACAGACCTTGTAGTGGTATTGCTGGGTCAAAGGGTATAGGTAGCTTAATAGTTCTTTGGGCATAATTCCAGATTGTTCTCCCAAATAGTTGGATCAGTTTACAATTCCACCAACAATGATTTAGTGTCCCAATTTTTCCGTATCCTCTCCAACATTTGTCACTTTCCTCTTCAATAATTTTGGCCAATCATTTTGGTGTAAAATGACATGTCAAGGTTGTTTTAATTTTCATTTCTGTAATCAATAATGATTTAGAGCACTTTTTCATATGACTATATATTTTTATTTCTTCATTGGAAAACTATCTCTTCATAACATTTTGACTGTTTCTCAGTTGGAGAATGGTTCTTATTCTTATAAATTTGGCTCAGTTCTCTATATACTTGAGAAATGAAATATTTATTAAATTAGGCCTTTATTTGCCGTAAAAAAATTGTTTCCTGCTTTGTTGGCTTTGTTTGTAGAAAGTTTTTAATTTTATGTAATCGAAGTTATTTAATTTGACCTCCTATGAAACTCTCTATCATGTCTTGTTTGATTATATTGGCTTGGCCTACCCATGAGTAATCAATATTCTCCAATTTTTTAGATCTGTCCTTATTTCTGTGAAGTGTTATGTAGTTTTGTTCATACAGTTCCCGTGTGTCTTTGCAGGTCAATTTACAAGTGTTTCATATTGTCTGCAGTTATTTTAAATGGAATGTCTCTATCTTTTCCTAATGGGTTTTGTTGGTAATAGATGGAAATGCTGATTTGTGTGGGTTCATTTTATATCATGACATTTTGCTCAAGTTAATAATAGTTTTGACTATTTTTTGGTTTACTCTCTAGGGCTCTCTTATGTAAATTATCATATCATCTGCAAAAAGTAACAGCTTGGTTTCCTCATTACTTGTGATTATTCCTTCAGTTTCTTTTTTCTGGTCTTATTGTTATAGCTAGTATTTCTAGTACAATGTTGAATAATAATGGTGATAATGGGTATCATTGCTCCATCCCTGATCTTACTGGGAAGGCTTCTAGTTTATCCCCATTATAGGTAGTTCTTGTTCTTTGATAGATCCTACTTACTTTTGTGTGCCAAGCTGTTGATTCTCTTCATAATCTTCTTGCATTTTTCTCATTTCTTTTCCAAAATTTTCCATTTGTTGTTGTTCAGTCATGTCTGATTCATTGTGATCCCATGGACAGTGTCCATGGGGTTTTCTTGGTCATTCTTCCTCTACCACTCTTATTTGTTTGACATTTTTTTTCCCTTGCTTTTAAAAAAATCTCTCTAGATCTTCCAAGAATTCTTTTTGGGCTTGTGTCCAATCTTCACTTTAGCATGCTTTGATCTATATTCAGACTCCTGAAATGATGGAGTCTGAATGCAGATCGAAGCATACTCATTTCACTTTATTTTTTTGTGTTTTTTCCCCTTTTAGTCTGTTTCTTTCACAACATGATTAGTATGGAAATGTTTTGCATGATTGCCCATATATAACCTATATCAAATTACTTACTGCCTTAGGGTAGGAGGAGGAGAAAGAGGGAGAAAAGTTTGGAACTCAAAAGTTTTAGAAAAATGAATGTTAAAATTTCTTTACATGCAGTTGGAAAAAATAAAATATTATAAAAGTATTGCCACATTGACTACCTAAAACAATCTTTTTTTAAACAAAGCTTGGAATTTATATCTCAAGAAATTATAACTGAAAACTGCTAATATTTATTAGAACTAGGAGGCAATGGTAGACAGAAAGAATCCACCAATCACCTCCTCAAAGGATACCCAAAAAGAGAAGCCCCAGAGTTCCATGTCAAAGAAAACATAAATACTGCAAAGCATCTAGAATGAAGCATTTCAAATACCAAGGAATTACATCAGGATCACCTAAGACTTAGCAATTCCTACTAAAAATAGGGATCATCCTTATTGTCTGCAAAGTGTATTAAGCCAGTTTTTCAAGTTAAAAAAAATGGAGGTTACCCGCTTGGTGGAAAGATTAGGGAGGCCAAAAAGGAACACACGAGTGCAGAAAAGAGGAATGGGGTGGAACATGCAGCTTCTAACTGCATTATATGAGAATTCAAGTATATAAACATGGAGGGGTGAGCAGAGTGGGCATCAAATAAACCTCAGCTGTAACAAAAGCAGGCTTACAATAGTTTGGCACCAAACAGTGATGAAGGTCAAGTGGATGCACAGAAAAAAAGAGAAAAGTTCAGAAACACTGACTGACCAGCAGGAGGGTGGGCTTTTTTGGAGGCGATTGGGGTTAAGTGACTTGTCCTGGGTCTCACACAGCTAGTGTTTAAGGCTGGATTTGAATTGGGGTCCTCTTGACTCCAGGGCCAGTATTCTACCCACTGTACCAACTAGCTGCCCCAAGCAGGAGTTTTAAAAGTAACATGTAGAAATTATTGTATTTTTTTTTTCAGAAAAAGCAAGTGGTGTGCAATGGAGATTAGTTTCATAGGAAATCCTTATTTTGACATTTAAGATAGAATAAAAATTTTTTTAAGGTCTGTCTCTTTATGTGATGGAAGAAAGATACCTTGGGAAATGTTAGAGATATAAAGCCAGAAGGGGAAAAAACCCATTTATTTTGAGTATAATCCAGACTGACTAAATTCATCAAGCCATCATATTTCTTGTTTTCGTCTTCATTACCTGACCTTCAGAGGAAATCTATGAATGCCCACTGCTTCAAGTGGGAATGCCAAGATTGATCTAATCAAGTTTCACTCGATGAAGGACCTCACATTTAGAGTTCTGGCAGCTACATTAATATTGTTGTGAGGATCAAATGAGACAATATTTGTAAAGCTCTTTGCAAAACCTTAAATGACTATATAAATGCTAGTTATTCTATCTGGTATCAACTTTGTGGGAACCTTAGCACACGTTGGCCCCTTTTCTAATACTATCAGGGCAGAAGTGGGAGAGAGCCTTAGGACTGAGAGTTTATCTCATACCTTTTGTTTCATATATTGTCATGGACAAATAACTTTAGTTTTGTTTAGAATGATCTGGTTCTACAAGTTATATGTAGTTATGGTCAGTGGACAAAGATTTGATATTGAAAGCACTGATAGCTGGTTAATATTCGTGCGTACTCTAATATCTGTAAGACTCTTGACACACCCTGTCCCAGGACTGCAAGACAGCCTATCTCTATTTTTTTTCCTTGTTTATATATTCCCAAAGCAAATGAATTCATCAATTGGTCAAAAGTATGGATTCAGACAAAATGATGAGGGCTGTTTTTTGGACTGTTGTCAAAGCCTTTCTACCATGGTAGAAACTTTCATAGGTAGTGTTCCACTGGCATAGCCCTAAACAGGATTTCTTAACCAAGGGTTGTTTTTAAAAAATTGGTTTAATGACTGTATTCTAATGTAATTGGCTGTCTTTGTATTTCTGTGTACCTTATGTTTTTAAAGATACTTTTGAGGAGTCGACAGGCTTCATCAGACTGCCAGAGTGGCCCACGACACAAAACGTAGAGTGCTGCTGGCCTTGAGCCACCACCATGATGAGCTATTGTGGGGAGGCCTTTATAATATGGATATAGAAATGCGGAGAGCGAAAGTACCACACAGAGAGGCCATGTGTTGCGGCTAAGTTTACGCCCCCAGGATTATAGGGCTAGGATGCTCTTGAAGGCCCTGTAACGCAAACCCCTCAATTTTTATAGATAACAAAACTGAATTTCTGAGAGGTCAAACAGCTTATCCAAGGTCACACAAGAACCAAGTAGCCAAATACAAGCTGGAGCCCAGACCCTCAGAACACAAATCCCGAATGAACCCTACTGCACCACAATGCTTTGTGGCCCTGTTCTGTGTCTTCCATGTTAACTTTCCAATAGCTTGGCCTGTAGAAAGCTGGCACTGATAGAATTGCTAGAAATCTTATATTAGAATCCCCTTAATGAGCATGTGACCCAACATCGCCATCAGCCCCTGGCTTATTACACGCGGCCTCTGTTCCCTGCGGTTCTCCATTGCTAGTCTTTTAGGCAGAAAAGTTCCCTGCCTACAAATAGGTTCCTACCTATACAATCTAGACTATCAATTCTGTTGGTCAAAACTTTTCTGAGTTAGGGTGATAAGACAGTAGTTGTATTTCAATGAGTCTCTCAGATGATGCACCTTTATCAATCACTATGCCTCTTCTATATTTCAAGACTCTACACCAAGAGATCATCGCTGACCATGGCTCCCACCCAGACGTTAGTGACATATGATAAAAAACCTACAGCAAGTTTCGGTATCATTGCATGCTCACATTAAAAAAAAAATGCACAAGCTGGCTCCTCTAAGTCTCACACTTAGGCCTTAGGGTCCCCAGCAGAGGAACCAGAGGCCAGATGTCCCTAAGGGTGATTCCTGTCCAAGACAGTATTCCAGAAATAGTCTGCTCTCTACATCTATACCTTGGTCAGAATGGATACCAGCAATCATGTTATATACAGAGAAATAATTTTCTCATTATACCTTATGCTTTAACTTGCTAACATTTGTAGTTCCTGGTTAGGTATGTCTAATTTAAATGGTCTGGGCAACATGGAGGTATTGGTTCCTCACTAACATGATGGGAACACTGATGCTCCCACCTGCATATCGTGAACTACAACTTCTGACATTTGGGCCAACAGAATGGTTTCCAGGTAACAAATCTTGGGTTCACAAGGGCCAAATACTGGCCCTTTGGCTTATGTTATTTCTCATAGTCTGCCGCCATGCAGATGCTTAAACTCCATTCCAATCAGGATGGCCTCCATAAGAAAAATTGATTAGTGGAAACAAAATGCACAAAAAGATCAGGGAATGATTAATGCTGGAGAAATGCTTTTTCCCCCCATTAATTCATTAAAATGGCTTCACTCCAGTATGTGAGTTCTCTGATGAATTTTAAGGTGTGCCTTCAGCCTAAAAGCTTTCCTACATTTATTACATTCAAAAGGTTTCACTCCACTGTGAATTCCCTGATGTTTTTTAAGGTAATTTTTCTGAGTGAAAGCTTTCCCACATTCACTACACTTAAAGGGTTTCACTCCAGAATGAATTCTCTGATGTCTAATAAGGCAATCACTCTGGCTGAAGGCTTTCCCACAATCACTACACTTAAACAGCTTTACTTCAGCATGAGTGCTCTGATGACTTTTTTTTTTTTGGAAGACAAAAGTATAATTAGCATCAGCTGATGGAGAGTTGCCAGGTGGCTAGCAACTCCACAGAACAGTGAGATACACACACATAGAGGGTTTTACACAGTTTCAGAACAGGTAACAAAAGAAGCCTATCAGGTGAGGCTGCTCAGCCACTTATGTTTTTTTTTAAATTTTATTAATTTATTTTGATTTATCAACAATCACTGCCATATGCTTTTGAGTTGAAAATTTTTCTCCCCCTTCCTCCCCCCCACCCTCCCCAAGACAGCACACAATCTGATACAGGCTTTACATTTACATCTGATGACTTTTAAGATGTCTCTTCTGACGAAAGGATTTCCCACAGTCATTGCACTGAAAAGGCTTCACTCCACTATGAATCTGCTGATGGCTAATAAGGACTTCCTTCCAAGCAAAGGCTTTCCCACATTCACTACATTTAAATGGTCTCGCTCCAGTATGAATTCTCACATGTGAAGTAAGTGTATGCTTCACACTGAAGGCTTTTCCACATTCATTACATTCAAATGGCTTCACTCCAGTGTGTCTTCTCTGATGTCTAATAAGGGTTTGTTTCTCCCTGAAGGCTTTCCCACGTTCATTGCATGGAAAGGGTTTTACTGCACTATGGGTTCTCTGATGGCTAGTAAGTTGATCCCTCAAGCCAAAGGCTTTTCCACAGTCTTGCAAGGAAAAGGCTTCACTCCACTATGAATGCTCTGATGGCTAATTAGGTATTCCTTCTGGCCGAGGGCTTTCCCACATTGATTACATTCAAATGGTTTCACTCCAGTATGAGTTTTCTGATGCGTAAAAAGGTATCCCTGGAAACTGAAAGTTTTTCCACATTCATTACATTCAAATGGTTTCAGTCCCATATGAATTCTCTGATGTCTAATTAGATAGTCCTTCCTTGTGAAAATTTTCCCACATTCACTACATTTAAGGGACTTGACATCACTATGAATTCTCTGATGTCTAATCAGATGTCCTTCTCTCCTAAAAATTTTCCCACATACGCTACAATTAATGGACTCAACTCGAATGTGAGTGCCTTGATGTCTCAAGAGGCTCCTCTTGTCACAGAGGGATTTACCACATTCAACACATTTGAAAGGTTTCTCTCCAGTGTGAGTTCTCTGATGGCTGATAAGGTGTCCTTTCTGACTGAACGCTCTCCCACATTCAGCACATTCAAAGGGTTTCTCTCCAGTATGAGTTCTCTGATGCCTAATTAGGATTCCCCTCAGGCTAAAGACTTTCCCACATTCACTACATTTAAAGGGTTTTTCTCCTTGTGCTTTCCAGTGTTCCTTAAAATTTTTCCAATAACCAAAAGCTTTTCCAAATGCTTTGCATTTATAAGGTTTTTCTACAGGAATTCTCAGATGTCCAGAAAGATTGGATTTTTTGTCAAAGCCTTTTCCACACTTGTTAGATTCATATAGTCTTCTTTCATCACCTATTCTGTGATATTTAATAAGGTCTGAATGAAAACTGAAGAGTTTTGTGCATTTGTTATATTTACAAAGCTTCTTCCATGAGACTGGATTACAATGAATTTTGTCCAAAAAGTGTCTTAAATTATTTCCATATGTTTTATATTTATGTAAATGTTTTCTTGGGGGAAGCTTTCCAACATGGAAAAAAGACTGGAGTCAGACTACCATGACTCACAAATGTATTACATTCAGTGACATTCTCCTTCCCAAATGCATTTTGGTGAGTGACTAACACTTGGTGGGAGTGTCTCTCCTGGTTGCCTTCTTGTTTCTCTAACCTAATTTCCTGTTCACTAAATTTTCTAAACTTGGAATTGTAGGGGTTATCCTTCAGTAGTCTTCCATTGGCCAATGTTTCCAGGCAAATGCCAGGCATCAGAGTGGAGTCCCTTGTTTCATACGTAATTTCCTGTCTAAGTGAATCTGAAAGAAAGAAATACATGTTAAGTCTTTCTCTTTGCTTCATACTAAATTCTGTATATTATTCCATTGAGGAAGAAGCCTGTTTAAAATCAGTTACTTGCCCTGAGTTTCCATTTTTTAAAACTTTAAGTACGTGGCAAACAGCTTGCATGAGATGGAAGTGTGTATGCTCATTACTTCCGTCTCCTCATAATTACATGTACCAATTAAAATACTTAGGGAAGAGCTGTAGCAGCCCTTTTGCCTCCCTGTGGAAACACGTACCAATCAGGATTGTCTTCCCTGTATATAGAAGTCATTTACTGCTGCCTCTAAAATCAGCTTGAAGTTTGAAATCAGCCTAGGCTGTACTCCAATACTGCTGTCTTGGTGTGCTACAATAAAACCCTTTTTGTCTCAATGTTACTGAGTTTGCCTTATTAATCAGGGGCAAGGCCTGAACAAAGATTTTTCCTTTTAACAACACATTCACTTGCACTAGGTAGAAGAATACTATTAAGGGGAAACTGGCTCTTAACAGCATCATAAAAACAACAGGCTCAATGAAAAGCAGACTATCTTCTGGCATATCCAATAGACTGACCATAATTATGTGGTAAAAGGAAATATCAAAACTTACAAACTGAAGCTGTACAGAGTGCATGAGTAATGATGGTGCAGATTAGCACTCTATGTTAATTTAACACAAATTAACAATGGAGAGGGTCAGGGTGTGGACCACTACATACATTAGATTCCTTCAATATGTTGATTTGTTTTGTTGAACCTTCTTTTCTTCTTTTTTAATAAGGGATGGCAGGAGTTGGGGGAGGAATACAGTGAGAAATATAATGGATATAAAAGCAAAAGGCCACTGAGGCAAACAGGGTTAAGTGACTTGTCCAGGATCACAAAGCTGGCAACTGTCTGAAGATGGATCTGAACTCTAGATCTTCCTGACTCTGGGCCTGGCACTCTATTCACTGTACTACCCAGGCTTATCATCTTCCTTGGTGGAGGGTTAATGCAAAATAATGATATTATAGACCTATGGATTAAAAGCCCAATGCGTGTTTACACAAGGTCTCTACCATACAAGTTGAGGAAATGATTCCACAGGAGAAGATGCAGGCCTTGATCCCCAAACACTTGTGGTCCAGTAGTGGTAGGGCAGACAAAGGAAACTCCAGGAAGAGAAGCACAAAGGAAACAGCAAAGGAGGCAGGATTGTCCATGAATAGTGCGGGACGGTGGGGAGACTGGAGCTGAAAGCACCATTCCAAGAAGTCCAGAAGGAAGAGCAGAGATGTTTAAAAATATGTAAATGTCAAATGTTTAAAAATGTCTAAATGTTTTAAATGTTTTAAAAATGTTTAAAAATGGGCTAGAGAATTGATACGAAGAGGGGGGAAGAAGTGATCCACACAACATGGACAGGGTGTCCCCAAAGTCTGAGTACTCTTTTACACTTTGAGGCTTCAAGCATTTATTGAACATCAACTTATTTACATTCAGAGCTCCAGATGTTAAGGGAGGAGGGAAGGGATTTCCCTCTGTTGTTTTTTATTATGAATGTAAATACCAAATTAATGAAATGGGTATCCCTAGAACAGAAAAAGAGGATTCTACAGCAAATTTCAAATCTCTCTCAGGTACAGCTTGCTTTTTGTTTTAAATATGATGTAAATTCTACATGTAACTATCAAAGCCATCTTGCTTGTCTGTGAGTCTTTCCAGACTTCCTTGTTTTCTTCTTAGCATTTAAAAAAATGCTTCAAATGTGTTCCTTCTTTTTAACTTTCTCTTTTGGAAACCCTATCCTATGTCTCCCTCTCCACTTCTGCCCCCTTGCCCTCTAGTAAAAAACCAAAAACTGCCTTCTAGCAAACATGCATAGTTAAGTAAAACAAATCCCCTCTGCCCATGTCTGATAATGTATAACTTAATTCTCCATCATTCCATCATGTCCCAATCAGGAGGCAGACAGCATGCAGAAATTTACAGTACTGTATCTCACACCATGTTCCAAGAGAAGCTCCAGATAAATATGCGTATGACTTAAATATAAAAATTACATCTTAAGAAAATACTTCAGTGAATTGATTTACATTTATAGGAATAAGAACTACTCCCCAGTGGGTAAAATGGATAGAGGAGGTAGTTCTCAAAGGAAGAAATCCAAGCTACCAATAGCCATATGAAAAAAAATGCTCCCAATCACCAAGAATTGTGTTCACATTCATCAGATTGGGAAAATAGAGGAAAAAGGAAAATGACAAATGTTACAAGAGCTGTGAACTGACAAAGTCATTCTGGAAAACAATTTGGAAGTCTGCCCATAAAGTTAGAGAACTATGCAGACATACCCTTGGTCCCAGTAATACCACTAGTAGGTACGTAATCGTGATTCCAGAGGACCAAGGAAGAAGCAGTCACCCCATCTCCTGACAGAGAAGGGATGAGTGGACTCTAGATACATGAGACACACATTTTTGGACATGGTGAATATAGGAATTTGTTGAAAGGGTTTTGGAGAAAGAAAAAAATTTAAAAAATTTTAAAGAAAAAGGTAAAATGAACAATTTTGATGACTTACATTTTTGCACAAAAGGAACAGATGCGGTTGTAAAGTAGAAAGGAAAACAGTTAGTGGAAATGGAATAATATCTTCTGAAAAGCAAAGGAACTCAGGATGCAACCCAAAATGACATCCCCGACCTTAAACATCAATGAAAAGATCTATGTTCAATAAAAAGAATATCTGAAACATTCCTATTAAAAACAACAATGAGAAAAAACCTGAAGTGAACAGATTGTGTGAATTGCAAATATCCCAAATCACAGAAATACAAGAAGGGTAAATAAATACAACTATCAAGGAAAAATAACGAATGAAGTAAGTCTCCTCATTTCTAAGGACTTTTATAAAACAAGTAGTAAAGACACCAATTTTGTTTAAAAAAAAGACAAGGCTATTAAGAGATTTCTTTGGTATCTAAGATGAGACAACTAATGCAGATATGTAAGACCAAAATCCATCCCAATGCCCTGAAAAAAGTGGCAAAGGGATACGAGAATATCATAGGATATCATAAATATCCTATGATTTTGAAAAAAGATATCAGTAATATATGATAGTCTTTTGAGAACAAGAAATTCTCAAAAGAATTACTTAAAAATATAATGTAAGAATGCTCCAAATCACTGAGAGAAATGCAAATTGAAACAACTCTTAAGTTTCACTTTGCACCCTGCAAATTGACAAAGATCACAAAAGATGGGATTGTCCATTCTGGAGGAGTTGTGAATTGTTGCAACCATTTTGGAAAGCCATTTGAAGATAAGCAAATTAAGTGACTAAAACATTTATAACCTTTCACCAAGACTATATTACTGGACATAGATCCTCAAGGTCACATATAAAAAGGTCCCAAGTACAACAAATTATACTGGCATTTTTTTTGTAACAGCAAAGACCTGGAAATAAATAGATATCCATTATGGAGGAATGGCTCAACAAAACTGTCAAATATGAATGTAATGGGATTGTTGTGCTTATTGTGAAATGGAACTACTGTGTGATTATAATTATGGTGCTATTGTGCTGCCACAAATATGATGAATACAGAGATGAATGCAAAGACTTTTATGAAGGGGTATAATGTGAAGTAAGGAGAACCACGAAACCAATATACACAATGACTAAAACAACCATGTCAATGGAAGAATCACCACAAAAAAAATTTTAAATGAGTTTTGTGAAATGACAGAGAATAAGCATGGACCCAAAGGAAAGATATGAGAATATATCCTCCTCTATTCCTTTGCAGAAGCTGGGAGTTCATGGGTGTGGGGCATTTCATCAACTTTCAGGCTTTTTCAATATATTGATCGATTTTATGGATTTTTTTTCAACTCTTTAAAAAAAATTATTTGGAAAAATGTGGAAAAGACTTCCATGAATTGATGCAGGTTGAAGTAATCAGAGCCATGAAAACATACACAACTACAACAATGTAAATGGAGAGAATAAGCATGGAACAATGAACTGCGAATATTGTGAAATTACAGAAAAGCGCAGACCCAAAATGAGCAGCAGACTTGGGGGCAGGGATCCACCAGGAATACTACAGATAGGGTTGGGATTTCATGTTTTCGATGTTAATCATTTTTGCTGATTTTTTCTTTAAAAAAACTTTGTTATATAGCATGGCTCTGGGAGGAGAGAGGGATACAGGGAAAATTTAGTTGCCATGAAAAGATATTTATGAAAATTATTTTAAACAACTGCTAGTTTTTATAAAACTATGCATACTGTTTGACCAAGCAATACCATTACTAAGTCTACATCCCAAAGAGATAAAAAACAAAAGGGAAAAGGACCTATATATACAAAAATATTTATGGCAGCTCTTTTAGTGGTGGCAAAGAATTGGAAAATGAGGGATGTCCATCAATTGGGGAATGGCTGAACAATTGTTGTATGATGTGATGGAATACTATTGTGCTATAAGAAAGGACAAGCAGGATGCTCTCAGAAAAACCTAGACTTAAATGAACTGATGCAAAGTGAAATGAGCAAAACCAGGAGAACAGTGTATACAATAATAGCAATATCGTATGATGATCAACTATGAATGACTTAGCTATTCTCAGCAATACAATGATCCAAGACAACTCTGAAGGACTTATGATGAAAAATGCTATCCATCCCCAGAGAAAGAACTGATGGGGTCTGAATGCAGATCAAAGCATGCTTTTTCTTTACTTTCTTTTTCCTTTTGGTCTGTGTTTTCTTTCACAACATAACTAATGTGGAAATGTTCTGCATGACTGCAGATGTATGTATAACCTATATCAAAACACTTGTCTTCTCAATGAAGAAGGGAGGATACAGAGAGAGGAAGGAAGAGAATTTGGAATTCAAAAGTTTTTTAAAATGAATGTTAAAAATTATTTTTAATGTAATTCAGGGGCATAAAATATTAAATTAAAAAAAGAAAAAAAGAAAGGTCCTAACCCTCAAAAAAAAATGTTAGTTTTACCGTTGGTGCTAATGGTTCTAGAACTTTGTAAGTAATAATGAAAATGGGCATCCTTGCTTTATTTGTGTATTGTGAAAGCTTTTAGAGTATCTCCACTGCATGTTTGCTTTAGGTTTTAGAAATACACTTTTAATTCTTTTTTATTCTTTAATACATGAAAAAAAGATCTCACTTGTGCCTGTGCTTTGTTAGAGATTTAGCATAAATGAGTGCTGTACTTTGGCAAAGACAGGTCTGAGGCAATGTAGTCAGACCTGAAGAAAGACAACCTGAGTTCAGATCCAGTACTTACTAGCTGTGTAACCCTGGGTCACTTAACTTTTTCCCCTCAATTTCCTCATCTGTAAAATAAGGATGAGAATAGCACTTTCCCAGGGTTTTTGTAAGGATAGAATGAGATATTTTTAAAGTGCTTTGCAAACCTTAAAGTGATATATAAATGCTAGCTATTATTAATATTATTTGGTAGCTATTGATAATAATCAGTTTTGAATGTTTTTGTTTTTAATATAATTCATCATGCTGATTGCATCCCTAATGATAAATCATCCATCGTATAAATCCAACTTAGTCATAATGAGTGATTTCTTGGACAAATTTGATGCAGGTTGTTTTACAGTATTTTGTTTTGAAATTTATCAATTTCTCTTATAATTTTCAAGATTTCAAGTTCTGTGTTTCCACTTAGCTCACAAATCCTCTGCTTTTCTATTTTGTATATGTTAAAGAGACTTTGGGAATACAGCCACACCAATGGATTTTTGGAGAAGGTATAAACTGGTCCAACTAATGTGGAAAATACTTTGGAATTCCATAAGAAAACTCAGTGAACTGTTGATTCCCCTTGGATTAAGAGATCTGATTGGGGAGTATATATGTCAGTGAGCTCAATGACTCAAACAAGGTCCTCAACGTCAGAATATTCATAGCAGCACTACTGGTAACCACACACACTGGAAACAAACAAGGTGGATATCCTCTGATTAGTGAATGTCTGAAAAAAACTAATATATGAAAGAAACAGCAGAAGTAAAGGGAATGAAGTGGAGCATTGCATATTAAGAAGGTATATTCATGTATATTCATACCTCCCTCCGAGTTATCTTCCACAAAATGATTAATATGGAAATGTTTTACATGACTGCATCTGTATAACCTATATCAGATTACTTACCATCTGAGGAAAGGGGAGGGGAGGGAGGCAAGAATCTGGAACTCAAAATTTTAAAAAATGTTAAAAATAGTTTTTTTCCCCATGTAATTGATGAAAAAATAAAATTTTTGAAAAAAGGGAAGTGGAGGGAAATATAGGCACATCTGCTGGTTTTTATTCTAAAATTAGCCATTTGGATGAAAGACCACCATGAAGAATTCAGCTGCATACAGAGGTAGGCATCCAGCAGAGATCACTTGGCCTTGTCTTTGCCTGGCCGCATCAGTTCATTTGGACTTATGGATTTGCCGCCATCGCGGCATTGGTGAGCATACCCCTTGCAGATCAGGAGCCTTCTGTGAGACCATGAAGGATGGTTCTGTGTACACAGACACGTTCAGGGCTCTGGGAGGAAGCATGCTGCTGGCCTGTGGTTCCTCACATGGTTTCCTTTCGTTATTTCTCCTTCTCTGGTAAAACCCCAATACCATCCTCTACCCAACTGCTCCCACCTGCATACTGTTGATGAATGTCACATCATAATTTTCCAATACTGATTCTTTGCACTGTAGTATGAAATGCGTATAAACACCTTAACTTCCCTCCACCTTTTTCAAATGATAGAAAGGCACTTGGCACACCTTAAAGTGCTGCATAATGCTACTCAGTCTTAAACAGGTCTGAAGCCTGGCACAGAGGCACCCAGCATGTATTGGTGATGTCAATTAGAAGCTGATTATGGCTTGACTCTCTGTCCCTAATAAGGGGATACAAGGAGAGAGGGGAGATTCTATTTTGGACTGGACTCTTACTCCCCAGGAAAC